TTTTAAAAGGAGACAGGAGTAAAAGGAACGACATATCTGATCTGGAAACGATGTTCAGATTTTCGAATGCCTTCACATCTTTGCTGGCATCAAATGGCTGAAGTTCTATATATTTCTCTCATAGAATTTCCCAAACTTTAAAATTATTTTGCACAGTATAATAATACTGGAAGGTAATAGAGTGATTCAGACTACGAATTCGGTTTCAGCACATCAAAATACATGTAGACATGTCCTGAAGTAACTTCCATTCTCTTTTTAGAATTGTTCCAAATGCTATACCCCCTAGAGTGGGGTTTTCCGTATTTAAGGGTGATAATTCTGTATTCAAATTCAGATTTAGCGCGTCACAATACATAAGGATAAACGTATAGGTTTAGTCTTTGGATGATGTTTTCCAACCCTGGATGGAAATCTGATCTTTTTGGCCATACTTTCTGTTCAGTGATTCTTTCTGTTTCTACAATCTCATAGACATAAGAAACGGGTGTGAAAGTTGAAGTTGGACTGCTTCTAGTTCTGAAAAATAGAATTTTCTGTATTTAAGGACGCTCCTTCGCAATTTAAAAAAATGGTGAGTGATGGAACAATTTTGGTCCTGGATTCAGACAATTCGGAAATACATGTAGATATGGTCCTGAAGTAACTTCTATTCTCCTTTTACAATTGTTCCAAATGCTATACCCCCTAGAGTGGGATTTTCCGTATTGGTAATTCTGTATTCAAAGCGCGTCAAAATACATAAAGATATATAGGTTTAGTCTTTGGAACAGACTACTTTTATTTTTTTGTGCCTGTGATCAACTAACGATTTGAGGATGATGTTTTTCAACTCTGGATAGAAATCTGCTCTTTTTGGCCATATGTTCTGTTCATAGTGATACTTTCTGTCTCTACAATCCCATAGGTATAAGAAATAGGTGAGAAAGTTGAAGTGGGAGTCCTTCTAGTTTTGAAACATAGAATTTTCTGTATTGAAGGACGGTTTTTCGCGATTTAAAAAAATGGCGGCTGATGGAGCAATTCTGGTTCTGGATTCGGATTCAGCGCATCAAAATACATAAGAAAACATAGTTCCAGTTATGGAACAGATAACTTTTCTTTTTTTGTGGGTCTGTGTAAACATTAATTGTACGTTACCTGGTAACGTTTTGTAACGATAACTTTTTCTACTTGTGTCTCTATTTGGTTTCAGTTTGTCATTATTCCACGTTTTCTACGGAGTTTTGTAACAAAAATGAGTTTTGTGAAACTGGAACATGAGTGTCGTCAAGTTTTTAACAAATAAACTGAAAACTCCTAAAAATATTTACGAACGGATAATCGCAGTCTATGTGCACGACAATCCGTCATATAATAATAATAACAAAGTGTATCGCATCTTAAATAGTCACTCTGAAGGCTGCTAGATCTTTAATACGGCCTAGGCTGGTAGAATGCAAATTACTACTTCACTAGTATTATGGAAGAAAGACCAGTGTCGCATTAGAGACGAAATAAAATTTTAATTACTGGCCTGACCAGTATTGAATTGCATTTGCTGTATCTAGTAAAGAGCTCGGATCATTCGTCACCAGAACTATCACACATACAACTTCTTAGTTCTCCTCAATAAGCCGTAGGTGAAACAACTGACGAATAATCTCGCTATTTTGATGCTTATCTAGAGATAGGTGTGAGATATATCGTACAAAGTGTAGGTACCTATTACATCTTAAATGGCCATTGCTACTCAACACGGCCAAACTGGTTCCAACATTAGTCCACAACAACATTAAACATTTAAATTAAAAATTTGGTGTATGGTATAATGCATAACCTAAAAAAATCATTGTAATATCTAAAACCAGAATAATTTAGATAGGAACAAAAACTGCGACGATTCTTGCTTCTTCTGACAACAGAATTATGTATGCATTTTCTTTAAGAAACAGTCTACACCACAAAACATATAATACAAGAAGGTCGTTTTCATAATACCAAAATCGAAACACCACTGACATTAAAAGACAACAACTGGCTCCCTCACTGTGTCTGGCCGCCCAAAAAAATGGAACTAAAGATAGCCGAGACGATAATGATGATTACTTTATTATCTACCGCCGGTAAAACAGATGCCAATTTGCGCGGGCTTCTGAAAATACATTCTAAGGGTCGTATATGACACTATACTAAAATTAGTTATAATTTTAGCATAGTGTCATACGACTCTAATACTACTTTTAATATTAAAAAATATATACGATATTACGATTTATAATGGTAAAATCGTATTTTACTCGTTTAAATAAACAAAAAAAAACTGCAAAATTTATAAAACAGTATTTATTAGCAATTTTAATGTGGTTATTGTTATTATTTATGTTATAAAGAGGGATAATCCCCTCGATTCCAAATCATTGAGGCTAATTTCTAGCCATGGAATAATGGCGCGGTTATTAATGTTGCATACAAACAAACAATTCTATTCACAAACTTTATATTTTCTGTTAAACCTGTTTTCTAAACACACAAACAAAATGGAAAGTTGACGGAGAAAAAACAATCTTCTAAGAATATGAATGTTTTGACATCATAAATAAATAATAAATATTTTCCTTTTCTGTGTAAACAAACATAACCCTTTTCACTATATTTAATTGGAAAACTCAATTTAATATTTACTTACCTTTTTGCCAAAACTTCCAATATTTTTCTCATACAAATACATAATATAATCAAGAAAAACGTCATGCTAAACAAACGTGAGTCGTGAATTTCAGTGTGGAAAAGTTAGTAAAAAATTTAATGACACTAGATTTTACATAGTGAAAAAACTTGTAACAAACTTAGTTACTTCCTTTTCCTCACCCCGTTCTTCGTATGTCTGGACAAGCTCCATCCCCTCCCTGTTGCGAATCTGGCAATGCTAGTTGCACAGCCATGGTCTACACCACTTAAATTGGCTTAAAAAATTACATGCCTGCACATGATTACCTTGGGTAGTAAAGCATGGATAATGGATAGGGTTACGAAGCGTTTTATAAACATTGCCCCGACCAGCATTGAATTATCTCCACAACCACAATATCCAGTAAACTCATTCATTGGTCGAACCCATCAGACATAGACCGGTTTTGGACTTATTAGTCCTCATTCAGCATTAGACAACCGACGAATGAATCTGTTATTTCTATCACAGGCATGGGCATACGCCAGACTCAGCAGAGTGCTACTTCTATGAACTGCTACTCAATATTCAAGCCTTCAATACCGTCACACAGGCAAAGAGCTACCTGCAATGTCGCAGGTACTGTGAAAACTCGACCTCTCTCGCCATTAGTTGAACCGATATTCAACTGATGATATTGCAGGAAACAAGTATTTCCTACTCTGTTCCTTTGTTCAATTCACTTAAAGCACAATGAGCGTTTTAACTGGTCTAGGTTCCTTTTTCTTAACGAGTTATTTACATATTTGATTGTCCCAGGAGATATTTTCATAAAAAAATAGTCTTTATGTCTCTGTAAAAAAATACAAGTGAGCCGGCTATTCCACGTCACAATAAAAAGACTTTCCCGTGGCCTGGAGGCAAAATATAATTTCAGAAAGCCGTTTATTCAGTTATTAATTTAGCATTGTTAAATTTATAGTAGATTACAGCTTCTGAAGGTTTTAACTTACAATTAGTACATTTCTGTTAATGACAATTTTGGAAAAGCTGTAATTTTTTATTGATTCGTAAAGTATACAATATCTATAAGGTTATGTATGGAATAGCATATCGGGTAAATGGCCTCCTCGGCTTTGCTGGCACATACGCACTCTTTTGTCAAAATTGTCCATGGCTCTTTTGCATAAATGCTGCTGAATTTCATTGATACATCGCTCAATTTGTCTGCTTCAAGGCATGGATAGTCGTAGGCTTACAGGCATTAACCTTAGATTTCGAAAAACCCCATAGAAAAAAATCCAATGGCATTAAATAGCATGATCTGGGCGGCCAATCCTGGTCACCGAAACGTGAAATTACACGACCAGGAAATGACTTGTAGTAATTGAATTGTTTCTAGTGTTGTATGGCATGTGGTACCGTATTATTGAAACCATATATCGTCTACATCCATATCTTACAATTTAGGCACAAAAAACTGGATTATCACGTCAAGATAGCGGGCGCCATTAACTGTTATTGCCTGACTAGGCGCATTTTCGAAGAAGAATAGTTGATGATGCTTCCAAAATTCACACCAAACAGTGACGCACTGTTGATGCATTTGTTTCTTAACAATCACTCGTGGATTTTGATGATTTTGTTCGAAAAATCAGCATCCACTTGTTCAATCCATCCATTCAACCAACTGTCTTCGTTCTGCGTGGTCAATAGACTTCAGTCAACTGAACTTTGTAAACATGAAGATGCAAATCTTTCATGAGAATACGCTGTAAATGTCAAATTCTTGACCACGGTGTCAAATTGATGTCCCTGGACTATCAGCAATACTCTCACGAACTGCTTCGATGTTTTATGTTGAACGACTTGTTGAAGGACGGTCAGAATGTATAAGATCACTAATTGATCCAGTCTCCCTGAATTTTTAATCTCTTCAAAATTATTGATGAAATTCCAACCATATTGTGTATGAAAATTGCGAACTGTAGCTGACAAACCTTCATTATTTTTTAAATATTGCTCAACAATGAAAGCGCGTTGTTCTTTAGAGTAGAACTCTGTTTTTAATAACCCTGATCTGTCAGCTGTCACGCTGTCTTTTTTTTTCGTTGGCAACACTTTACCGCACAAATGGCGCAAAATTCAAATCTTGCGTGATTTTTGGGACATCCGATATATTTAATCACGAGTCTCATTCATTTTTGGAGAATTAAAATTTCCAAGCGAACTCAGTACCTACATGCATGGTAAATATGTAAAAATATTACTTAAATTTACAATTCACAAGTCAATAATAAAATTTCAACAATATATCTTTATATTACCTGTATATAATAACAAAAGACAATTACCCCAATAAATGACATTTATTTAAAAAAGCAATGAAAACAAATGTCAACTGAAATTTTAACTTCAGCATTTTAATAAGTAGGTATTTTTATGACATTGTATACATTTAATAATGAACATTAGACCATAACAATTTGTACTGCATCGTATCTTGCGACAAGTTACAATTTTTTTGTGTTACCATTCATTCTATTTATTTTAAGACGATATAATGAAACTAATTTTTATTTAAAAACAAAACTTTTAAAAATATTCCAAAAGTACACATATGTAAAACATTAAACAACTTTTATAACCTAAAATGGAATTTCAACTAATATTATGTATAGTAGTACATATATCTATCAACATACACTATTACAATGTAAAAGTAAATAAGCTAATCCCTATAACCTTAAATGCGTTTACATCCTTTTTTAAACTCTTTTATGACTGAAAGTAGAAGCGGTACAACATTGTGGCTAGGATTCCAAGAGATATGGGGATGATCCAAGACCTGAAGGAACTGAAACAAAAAAATAATAAATAAATAGAGTTGCTTCATCGTAATAATAAATAACTAAGTTGAAATAATAATTACTAAGCTGTTATATGGATAACAATGCACTCCTGCCGAGAACATTGTTATCCTTATAACACCCTTGCTTCCCTTAAGGTATAATACCCTAGTAGTTATTTAATTTCAACATTTTTTTATATATAGGTAGTATAGTAGTATAGTAGTATAGTTTTTTATATATAGGTAGTATAACAATAATAAATGTTACTGGTAATATTGGTTTTATAAGCTTCCCTATCTCAACAGCCATTGCATAGCTTTAAATCATAAAACTGTGTTTTATCAGCTTCAAACTTTGGGCATATACGCGAATTAACAGCCTAGTATTGAGGGACTTTCTATACACATAAAAATTTAAAAGAAAAAGTTCAAAATGTAAAAGGGCCCGAAATCTAGATCTATCCAAATGTACATATTTGGATCCGCTTCTCTTCCTCTAAGGATATCAGTAGATCGTTAAAAATAGAAAAGTGGAATTCCTACACAATGTATAGGTAAATAATAATTATTGTAGTACGGAAAATTTTAGGAGGGTCGAGATAGTGTAGGAAGATGACGTGCCCAGGGTATTTTTTTCGAACAGTTCTGTTATACTGACTTGATAACGAATTATCCCAACATTACTAACATTTTCTGGTAACAAGTTATAATTATTATCCTTGAAATCAATTGAGTTATTACTCAAGCTTAGTTGATGACTTTTATTTATTTTAATTTGGCACATCACTCCGATATTTAATCTCTTTCATAACATGACAATTATTTTGAAAAATCATTCGTAAGATGAGTATAGATTTCTAAAGGTTATGGTCTTAATATACAATGCAACTATCATGCTTACTTTAACTTCATTAAATTTTACGCCCTACCACAACATTATTGGTTGCTGATTTGATGGTGATGACAAACTGTATTATTTTTCCCGATCGTCGAAAGAATATGAATAGCGTAAATGGAAAATATGTTTCTTTTCCGAAAAATCAAATATAATGTACTTCAAGGACATTGTTATCCTTATAACACTCGTGGTGCTTTTAATGTTATTTAATTCAAAAATAGTTTTTATGAATCATCGAAATTCTAAAAAAAAAAATTGAATCTAATGGAACTCATTTCATTCACATAAAACTACGAACTCGCACAAAACCACTCACAAAAATTAATGAACCAGCTTTAAACCCACTAATGAAATATCTGTTAGTTCTGACTTGAGTTCTGTTATTAATCAAGAAATTCGAAAAAAAAATTACTTGATTTTTTCCAGAATTCGTGCCTGACGTCTTTTTGAATAAAAACTACGATTTCGTTTGTTCTACACAAGCCGAAATGACTTAATTAAGAAAATTATAAATTTAACACATTTTCATTTAAATACGAGAAAAAAATACCACTTTTTTATCGACGAAGATGTAAGAAAATCCTTATTTCCACATTTGTGAGTAAAAAAAATATCTATAAATCCTATTGCATAATTTTCTCTATCCCTGCTATCAAATTATCGTTGTTTTGAGTTGAACAAAGCACACTTTAGCACATTACAGAAAATATAATGTAATTAATTCACAAAACTATACAAAGTACACTAATTTTCATAAACTCATTAAATTTCATACACAGTAACGTCAATAAACGTCACGAATTGTTCTCTAAAATAATATAAGCATTTGCTGACCATCGGCAACTTATTATTATTCATTTAAAAAATTTCACAGTTTACTCAAAAAGACTGAATAAAAAAAAAGTAAATATACCTGCCTATAACTCTTTAGCGCCATAATGTAGCATATTCATTACAAAAGTCACGGTTCAACTTCCAACCGATTACCGTTACATAAAATAGTGAACCTATCTATTACTATTAAAAACGATGGCCATAAAGGCTGCATAAATATCAATTTAGTCCATTAATAACTAGCCGCGTAGTGGTATCTACGCATAAGATAATATTTTAACAGAATATATACAACTGGCTTGTTATAAATCAGCCTTTTATGTAACCTTGCAGCAGTATTCATTAAAATAATATCCCAATATTACATTAGGATGCACGCATCTTTCTAGTGACTTTAGTCCCACTCTTAAAGCACTTCTTTAATAAAAATAAAGGGGCACAATTTAAATTAAAGTACAAAACCGCTAATATATGTACACAAAGATTAGCAGAATTAACTACCCAAGGTTTCCTAATTAACAACACTGACATTTAACCTTAATCCAATATTTCATTGAAATTTGATTACACAAATCGGGAGCCAAATAATAATTCTACTACTAGGTCAATACAAATAACCTCGTAATTGAAATTTCATAATATGAGTCCATGGTACACTTTCAATTGAAACTTTTTTGTGCGACGCGACGGTGTTTCAAAATGTAACAGTAATTATATTCTAAAAAATAAAAAAAGGAACTCCAATGAATGAAACTTGCGATGGGAAGAATAACCTGTTAGGTATTGTCCAATAGATGGTGTTATTTATATCAGACTTTTTTCTGCATCCAAAAGGTAAATCAGAAAGAGAATGGAACAATTAATTGTTAGCTAGCAATACCAAGTTGTAGAGAGGTTATAAAATTAGGACAACAAAAAATATATATACAAAATGAATATATGTAATTAAGTTATGTCTCACACTATTAATTTCGCTGTTATTATTATTAATTAATAATTTAATTTAATTATTAATTAAATTTACCCTCGTAAATTCATATAGTATAACAGGCGTGAAATAGAATTCATGTTCTCATTTATGAATTCATGCTATCATGTACTTTTACCTTTGGAAAGTTTAATAAAATTTTTAAAAAAATCAGCCCTAAAAAGTATTTTTGCTAATACGTTTCTGAAAATTTTACATTTAGATTATTAATCTTTGGAATTTTCGAAAGGCACTAGAATATGAAATAAATATTTTGGCATAAAATAAACCACCCCTATATGCTATTAGAGTTAAACCAACTATTTTTTACCGCTTTCTTGAACTATATATACCTTAAAACTTTTCAATATTATTATTAAAATCTTCAACAATGCAATAAAGTCTGTTTTGAAAGCATGTGACAGTGAATAATTAGCAGAGCATAAGCCATAAAAAAGTGGAGAGACAAATTTTGAATCGTGACAGTATTCTATTACTAATTCAATAATAAAACCTAAATAGTTATAAGTATACCTACAAATACAGGGCGTTAATTAATTATGTACAATAAATTCAACAGACGATTATTTGAGTGATTTTAAGACAAAAAGTTCATGTAAACATTGGTCCGCACATGCTTCGTTTTGAAGATACAGGGTGTTAAACTTTTGTAAAAAAAAAATGGTATTTAGTAAATATCTTAAATACCCTTTACCCGATTTTGTTGTAATTTGATAGTGTTAAGGGGCTAATTTAACCCAAACTTGATTAGATTTATTAAATCCAGTGGCGTTCCGAGCGGTACCCTAACGAATATTTTTGAAAAACAAAATATATGCCACTGACTTTGTAATTTTTATATATGTTTTGAATTAAGCAACTAAAAATACAACTTTTTTGTATCTTAAATATTTTTCTTGATTAATTTTTGTAGAAAAAATAAAATAAAATCCACTTAATTGTATATCTCTGGGCCACACAAAATTTATATAAGCATAGGTCCCGTAATGCTTCGTTTTCAAGATACAGGGTGCTAAACTTAAAAAAAAAAAACATTTTTCGTAAAAATCTTAATCCTTTAACCAATTTTGTTGAAATTTGGCAGTGTTATTTATGGTAGAAACGGGCTAATTTAGCCCTAACTAGATTAAAATTATTAAGTCCAGTGGCGTCCCAGGAGGGGGCATCTTAACCAATATTTTTAAGAAAAAAAATGTACGCCACTGAGTTTTCTTAAACTTTTATAATTTTTTTCGGGTTAAGCAACTAAAAATACAACTTTTTTGTCTCTTGCTTCATTTTTGGAGAAAAAATAAATAAAAATCACTTTATTGCACATCAAAGAAAACATAATAAAAAATTAAAACTGCCAAACTATCAAAAACTGGGGTGTACCTGTTATTTTTCTCCATATCAATAGTCTATTCTAATCTTAGAAATTGTTATAAAAATCAATGATAGCTAGTTTTTTTTTGTTGTCCGTGGACATATAATAAAGCTAAAAGGAAGGAAGATAGAAAAAAATTCAAGAGACAAAAAAGTTGTATTTTTAGTTACTTAATGCGACAAAAATTATAAAAGTTTTAAAAAGTCAATGGCGTACATTTTTTTGTACATTTAATTGTTAAGGTGCCCCCGGAAAAAAGTTTGACACCCTGTATCTTGAAAACAAAGTATTACCGGACCTATATTTATATAAACTTTTCGTCTTTGATTCACTTAAAGAATCATCCCTTGAAGTTTGACCGCGTGCTTAAATAACACCCTGTATTTAGTATTACTCTTAAATTACTGTCAATAGTTTTTTTAACTACATATTCCTAACACACACCTATGACGTTTGTGGATAATTTAATGAAAAATATAATTAACTTATTATTTAATTATAATCTGAAGCAGGTACATTTACCTTAGAACTGTCCTAATACTTTTTAATTACACTGAACTTTTATTGGATAACCATATAAAATATTATTTGTATGTGTGTTCAAATGATGTTTCATTACACTATCTCATTACGAAACAAATTATCTATAGGTCCAACATCATGAAGTAAAAAAGATGCGTGCCGAAAATAAAGCACAGCTAAGTTATTATCTTGATATAAAGCAAATATGATAAAGAGATATTTTTAGCGGCATCGATTTTCTAATAAAATGAAAATTAAGTTACGAATGTGACGAAGCGTATTCAACGGAATATCATTACAGGCGTTTAAATACCAGTTCAATTAATAATTATAACTTTACAATATTTTGTATTATGCAAGAATGTGATATTAAAAGTAAACTTGTTATTTTTACGTAA